CGCGTGGTGAAGGAAGCCCGCTTACCCACGACAGGGTCTCTGACTCCCATCTCCGTTACCCTAGGGGATGACAAGACCCAGCGCTTCTTCGATCAAATGGTCACCGACCTCCCCTTCTTCCTCACTCTTGAGCCGACTGAGCGTTCCCCGGCGTCTCGTCGCCACCGCTCCTCTGCACATTTCGATGTGATGGAGACGGGGTACGACTTCATTCTCGGCACTCCGTGGTCTCGTCGGTTCCGCAGCACCGAGGCCGATTGGGBRACCAACACYCTCGTTCTCAAAACGAAGTGTGGACAGACGTATCGCGTACCTTTCATAGGTACCACGGCGACACCACGTCCCGATCCTCCTCCCACGGAGCCTTCAGTGCCCACACCATCTCCCTCTATCATTGTCACCTCGCCTCGACAGTTCGCTCACTTCATTCGACAGGACAACGTCACCTTCTTTATGGTGGACGTGACGGATCTCTTACACTATGATCCACCCTGTCTCGACGCCGAGCTCATCCCTCTGGAGCCAGATCCTCCCTCTATCTCCATGGCTCCCATCTTTACTTCCGTCCCTCCGCCGTCCGTCGAGTCCACCCYGCCGTCGCGCGCTGACGCTGACGCTGAGGAACTCGTACGATATACGGCTGACTTGGAGCCCGCAGTTCGTGACCTCATCCGAGAGTACCACGACGTTTTCCCATCGTCGTTCTCGTACGCCGGCATCCCACCGATGCGTGACGTCGAACACTCCATTCAGCTCGTGCCTGACTATCGTGTTCACCACCAGGCACCCTACAGACTCTCGATCCCCGAGGCCACTGAACTCAAGCGTCAGCTTGTGGAGCTCCTGAGACTGGGTTTCATTAAACCCAGCAACTCCCCGTGGGGTGCACCCGTCCTCTTTGCTCACAAAGTGGATGGAACTCTTCGTCTCTGCATCGACTACCGCGGCCTCAACTGCTACACGGTTAAGAACAGCTACCCCATGCCTCGTTCCAATGAGCTGTTTGACCGCCTAGCAGGCAAACGCTTCTTTACGAAGATTGATCTTCGTAGCGGTTACCATCAGATCCGCGTCGCTGCAGCCGACCAGCCGAAGACCGCGTTCCGATCGCGATTCGGCCACTACGAGTTCACGGTGATGTCATTCGGCCTCACCAACGCACCCGCTACCTTCCAGAGGGCGATGAACGACATCTTCAGGGACATCCTGGAGCAGTACGTTCTCGTCTACCTTGACGATATCCTGGTTTATAGTCRTACCCTTGAGGAGCACCTCAGACACCTCCGCGACGTCCTTGACCGCTTGCGTAGAGATGGCTTCTACGCCAAGCTAAGCAAGTGCCGCTTTGCCCAGCASAAAGTGGATTTCTTAGGACACTACGTGTCTGACCAGGGTCTCCACATGGACGAYGCGAAGATCACTDCTATTGCGGAGTGGCCCGCTCCCACATCCGCCAAGCAGCTTCGCAGCTTCCGAGGCCTGACCAGCTACTATAGTAACTTCATCCGGGGATACGCTAGGTATTCTTACGTCCTTACCTCCACCCTCCTCCGGAAGAACCCACCCTGGGCTTGGACACCCCTCCACGAGGACGTCTTCCGCGCCCTCAAGAAGGCGGTGACATGCGCACCGGTTCTTCACCTACCCGATTTTGACCGCCCTTTTATCCTTACCACCGAYGCGTCAGACTTCGCYRTAGGAGCAGTGCTTTCTCARGTCTTCCCCTCATCTYCTGATTCCTCTCATCCTCGTATCCCTCGCTTCCCACCACCTACCCCTACCACTGCTTCCCGACTGACGCCTACTCGTCCAGCTACTTACGAGCCTTCTATTGACTATTCTCCTAYMATCGCCGAGGACGGCACTGTCGAGTCTCGCTCAGGTGATTGTCCGATAGCCTTCTACTCCCGTCAGCTCCTGCCCGCCGAGATAAACTACACTGCTGATGAACGTGAGGTTCTCGCAGTAGTTTATGCCGCTCGACACTGGCGTCACTACCTGCACGGGGCACCATTCACGGTGCGCACGTACAACTCTGTTGTCCAGACTTTTCTGACAAAGCCGAAGCTCACTCCTCGACAGGCTCGCTGGTGGCGCGACCTATCCAAGTTTAGTTTCACCACTGAGCACATCAAGGGTGAGACTAATCGGGTCGCCGATGCCCTATCCCGGCGCCCTGACCACGACCAGGAGCACATCCAACTCTCTTCCATCTCGGTCAGCACCGTCCACCACTCGGTGATCGACGAGTTTCGCACTCAGTACCGCCACTGCCCCGACTATCGCGACATCCACGCGACCCTTTGGAGTGGCAAGACCGTCCCGAACTACTCTCTCGGGCACAACGGTCTTGTGTACTGGCACGGTTCACAGGGCACCAGAGAGCCCCGTATTTGTGTTCCCTCCACTGGACAGCTACGTGTCCAAGCAGTAGCAGAGTTCCATGACCAGGCAGTTGCCGGTCATATGGGCTTCCACAAGACGTTGGCTCGTGTGAGCCGCCTGGTCGTCTGGCCGAAGCGCAACGACTTTGTGAAGGACTACGTCGTAGAGTGTCCCACCTGTCAGGAGGTGAACAGTGCGAACCACCTACCTTATGGTTTGCTCCAGCCTCTTCCTATCCCTAAGGGCCGTTGGCAGTCCATCTTGATGGACTTTATCGGTCATCTTCGACCTCCGACCCCCCGCGGTCATGATGCTATCCTGGTGGTCGTCGACCGCTTCACGAAGCGTGCACGCTTTGTTCCGTGTCGCTATGCCATCAGTGCACGTGAGGTCGCCGACATCGTATTTGACCGAGTCGTGCGTGACCACGGCTTACCTCTGAGCATCATATCTGACCGTGACCCGCGCTTTACCAGCCGATACTGGCGACGGCTCCACGAGGTGTACGGCACTCAGCTCCGCTTCTCCTTGTCTTACCATCCTCAGACTGATGGTCAGACCGAGATCACGAATAGGACTCTCGGGGATATTCTCCGAACGATTGTTTGTGACGACCAGCAGTGGGATCTCCATCTTGCCCACGCGGAGATAGCCTACAACCACGCCGTCTCGCCAGCCACGGGGATGTCGCCTTACTATTGCGACCTCGACTATCACCCGCGTGTTCCCGCGGACTTCCTTCGACCGTCCCGGATGCACCCCGACACGAGTTGTCCCACGCTGGATGATTGGGTTGCACACATGACGTCGATTATGAAGACCGCACATGAGCACATAGCCGCTTC